TTCAGAACTGAAGGTAAGACCAAGTTTTCCCCATTCAAGCAAAAGCCAAAGTGGTTCATCACCACCAAACGGGCACTACAAGAAATGCCAAAGGGAATTTTTTAATTAATTTTTTAAAATGTTGCCCTGGCTAGTACTCTCAGTGGTTAGCAATGGCCTGAGCACAACAGGGTTGCAGGTTCAATTCCCAGTCAAGGGTACGTATTTAGGTTGCAAGTTTGATCCTGCATGTGGGAGGCAATCAATTGATGTGTCTCTCTCACATCAATGTTTCTCTCTTTCTCTTTCCCCCCCCCCCCCAAAAAAAAATCCACTCTCTCTAAAAATCAAAGGAAAAAACCCCTTTGGTAGGGATTAACAAAAAATAAAAATGATAAAATAAAGAAACAGGTCACAAATGACAGAAATGGAGGAAAGCAAACTACTGGATATAGAGTTCAAAACCACACTTTTAAGGTTTTTCAAGAATTTTCTAGAAACCGCCAATAAATTTAGTGAGACCCTCAAGAAATCTAGTGAGACCCTCAAGGTTATGAAAAAGGACCAACTAGAAATTAAGCATACACTGACTGAAATAAAGAATATTATACAGAGTTCCAACAGCAGACTAGAGGATCACAAGAATCAAGTCAAAGATTTGAAATACAAAGAAGCAAAAAACACCCAACCGGGAAAACAAAAAGAAAAAAGAATCCAAAAATATGAAGATAGTGTAAGGAGCCTCTGGGACAACTTCAAGCAAACCAACATCCGAATTATAGGGGTGCCAGAAGAAGAGAGAGAGCAAGATATTGAAAACCTTTGTGAAGAAATAATGACAGAAAACCTCCCCTACTTGGTGAAAGAAATAAACTTACCAGTCCAGGAAGCGCAGAGAACCCCAAACAAAAGGAATCCAAAGAGGACCACACCAAGACACATCATAATTAAAATGCCAAGAGCAAAAGACAAAGAGAGAATCTTAAAAGCAGCAAGAGAAAAACAGTCAGTTACCTACAAGGGAGTACCCATACGACTGTCAGCTGCTTTCTCCACAGAAACTATGCAGGCCAGAAGGGAGTGGCAATAAATATTCAAAGTGATGAATACCAAGAACCTACAACCAAGATTACTTTACCCAGCAAAGCTATCATTCAGAAGTGAAGGTCAGATAAAGAGCTTCACAGATAAGAAATAGCTAAAGGAGTTCATCACCACCAAACCAGTATTATATGAAATGCTGAAAGGTATCCTTTAAGAAGAGGAAGAAGAAGAAAAAGGTAAAGATACAAATTATGAACAACAAATACACATCTATCAACAAGTGAATCTAAAAATCAAGTAAATAAATAATCTAATGAACAGAATAAACTGGTGAATATAATAGAATCAGGGGCATAGAAAGGGAATGGCCTGACTATTCTTTGGGGGGAAAGGGGTGTGTGGGGTGCGGGAAGAGACTGGACAAAAATCGTACACCTATGGATGAGGACAGTGGGGGGGGGGGGTAAGGGCAGAGGGTGGTGTGGGAACTGGGTTGAGGGAAGCTATGGGGGGAAAAAAGAGGAACAACTGTAATTATCTGAACAATAAAGATTTAATTAAAAAATAAAAAAAGAAGAGGAAGAAGAAGAAAAAGGTAAAGATAAAAATTATGATCAACAAATACATATCTATCAACAAGTGAATCTAAAAATCAAGTGAATAAAAAATCTGATAAACAGAATAAACTAGTGAATATAATAGAATCAGGGGAATAGAAATGGAGTGGACTGATTATTCTTGGGGGGAAAGGGATGTGGTGGTTCGGGAAGAGACTGGACAAAAATCGTGCACCTATGGATGAGGACAGTGGGGGGGTGGTAAGGGCAGAAGGTGGAGTAGGAACCAGGTGGAGGGGAGCTATGGGGGGGGGAGAGGAACAACTGTAATAATCTGAACAATAAAGATTTAAAAAAATAAAGAAACAAGCAAAAAAATGCATGGACAGAAATCTCAATGTCCTAGAAATTATTTTAAAGAGAATAAAAATGTAAGTCAGATCGTTAATGTGGAACTTATAAAGGGAATAATCTAAGTGAAATGGGTCTGTGTTGGCTAATTCATTAAATGAAAATATTGAAGTCATAAGTACTAGTATAATCATTAGAGGAGTTATTATATGCTGTCTGAATGTCAGTTATCAGATGTCAATTCCGTATGCATATGATGTTTTCAAGTGTGACTCTTTAAATAAGCATGTAGTTGTCCATATTATTCTTAGAACTATTGGTAACTTTTCTTCTTGTTTGTATAAATAAGATTGAAGTGTAACTGGATTACCCTAGTACACTGATTATATAGATAGTCTAGTTTTAGATTAGTGAGCACAGCTGCTATCTGAAGAGCTCGTCAGTGCTCACAGGTCTATAGCCTTCCATTATGGTTAGTCATCTTTTTTTAACTGAACCCCTAGTGGTGTTTATTGCACCCTTTACATAATTTGAGAACCTACTATGTTCTGTTCACTTATCTAAACACTTTTCTTACTCATTGTATGTAATCTTTACCCTGTGAAGTAACTACCAATAGCCTCACTTTACATATGAGAAAAGTGAGGCTCAAATTGAAGGAAAGACTCTGGCCAGGTTAGAACTCAAACCTACCAGGTAGGTGAGAGGAATTTAGAAATAAAATTGTCCCTGATTCTCTTCTGTAATTTATATATTTTTAAATGTTCTAATTTTTCATGCAAGTTGAGTCAATTTTCTTTCTTTTACAATATAATAAAAACAATTACAACAAATAAAAGAGGCTGTAGATACAATTCATGATTGTGCACAAGCCTCTTTCCTTATCTGGAGCACACCCCTGTATTTGTTACCCTTCTAGCCTGTTTCAATGGCTTGAAAACAATTTTAATGGTTTTCTAATTTCCCCAGTAGATAAGGTCCCTGATATTTTGCATAGAGTAGTGCTGGAAAAGTTGTACTCTTCAAGAGTGGAGCTCAACTATAGCAAGAAGCATCTGGTGGCCCTAGCTAGTTTGCTCAGTGGTTAGAGCGTCAGCCCATGAACTGAAGAGTCATGGGTTCGATTCCAGTCAAGGGCACGTACCTAAGTTGCAATCGGCAGTCAGGGCATGTGCAGGAGGCAACCAATCAATGTGTATCTCTCACATCAATGTTTCTCTCTCTGTGTTTCTCCCCCTCCCTTCCACTCTCTAAAAATCAATGGAAAAAATGGCCTTGGGTGAGGATTAACAAAAAAAAAGTTGTGTTTTATTTTTTTAAAGAAGGAGCTGGTGTGGGATCTAGACAACTTACCTGGCATAAAGGAAGAGAGAGAGTCCTTTGAACAATATCCTATCTAATAATAGACAAACATGGTAATTAA